GGGTCTCGCCGCATGGCACACGAAACGAGACGAGTGCATCTGCCCACGAAAGGTGTCAAAATACACTCGTTACTATTTACAGCAAACGGATGAACCTGGCCATTTTCTGCACGAAGATGCACTCATTTCGTTTTTCATTTGGCGTCCCATGCGGGGACGCCCTCTGTCCATCTTCATAATAGCCATCTCAGGCAGGCCCACACAACAAAGTCGCCTAACCGTAAGAAGATCCGCACCCTGGCAGCTGACCCGCAGATCGCGGCTGCTGGACAACATTGCGTTGACAGAATTGCGGCTTTTTTTTTTTTTTTCAACATTTTTTGCGGATTAAAGGATGCCACACGCATGTCGCCCGCGAGTCCCGCACCCATCGCACTAATCCAAATACATGGCTAGTGGGATCCCCCTCCTGGAGTTTGGAAGCGCTCGTCGCCCTTGAGCATGGAATTTTTCTTCTTCTTCTTTTTTTTTTTTTTTTTTTTTTTGAATAAACTCGGTTCCAGTGCTAGTGGTGCTGGTAAGAGCAGACACCACTAGCACCTGAGGAGAGGCTCCATCTATTGGTGGGGAGCATCACCTGCTGGAAAACGGGTCCAGCGTCCCTGATACAGAAAAGATTTGGGGTATGTCAGGAAAAAAGGAGTAGGAGTCTCCTGCCGGCATTGATTACTCTGGAATCCAGAGTATTGACTGAGCAGGAGTTTTGGAAAAGGAAAGGAGCCTCTTATGTTTCGAAGTATCGCAGTGCTCAGCCACTCTGGGAGTGAGGCACAGCCCAGAAACTCTGGCATGTAAACTTTGTGCCCCGGTCTCGTCTGAAGTGTAGGCTGCTTACTGTAACTCTTTTTCAATTACCACTACCTACGACCCTGTTCTGGCCGACCCTGAATTGCGCCGCACATTGAGTTTTGCCCGGTGTAGGTCCCCTTGTATTTTCTTTTCTGGTACTATTGCAAAAACAGAAATAAACGAAACCGTGGGCCGAGTTTTGCCCAGCCTAAATAAACGAAAAACACGTTTGTGTTCTAAAATGAACAAGGGAAATTAAAAAAAAAATAAAAAAAATCCAGCAGACTAGCTCAGTTGGTAAGGCTCACAAGTGGCATTCAGGAGGTTGTGGGTTCAATCCCCATTGGCCTCATGTACCTTCCTGGGCATGCTTGGCACCCGCCACCTAGCGATAGACCACTGGATCCCCCAGTCGGCATTGAGCAGAGTCTGCTGATGTTCGTAGGGGAGGGTACCTGAGGGAAGGCACAGGGATTGGTCCTTTTGACATGGTCCCTGAAGCTACCGGCTATCCCCTGCCCGGTATCACCCACCTCCAGGTCGGGAGCAGCCCCCATATGTTCTCTCGTGAACACGGTTCTGACTTCTACGGGGTTCCCCGTATGCCTATAATCAGGAGTAGTGGTAGGTAGGTAGTGTGAGGTAAAATTGAGAGAAGAATGTAGATTACTTTAAAAATAAATAAAAAATGAAGATGTGATAGCAGTTGGATACAATCTGCCAAGTACTTGTGTGAGTATGCCCTGAGTAAGGGCGTTACAGCGGCGCAGTCTCGATAGGGAAAGGAGGAAAAAACAAAAAAAAGGAACCTACCTTTGGATGAAAAATCAGGTAGATACGTTCTCTGAAGTAGTAGTGCGAGTATGCCCTTGTTGAGATAGGGGCTCGTTAGACACTCCCTGGCCCGTCGTCGGGGCCCGAGGAGTTTTCCTTCGGGTCGTCCAAGAGAATTCCCGCCGTCGTTACACTTATCCTCGGGGAGGCCTTCCGAGGAGGATTCCTACGGAGTGCCCGTGGCCAGTCACATAATATTATTGCCGACCGCGGGGTAGGGTGGGGTCGGTGGTCCATGGGCGGTTGCCCGTGTGGAGGGGCGTGGTCCAGCTTGGAGTGGCACCAAAATTTGAATCTTCGCAGCGAGTTATTAAATAAAAACAAAATCCGCACGCCGTCCCGGTTCGAAATTCAAATTTTGAATGACGTCACTGGGGTGAGGGCGGTTCGTCGTGTGGCTGCGGCGGCTAGTGGAGGACGTCGAAAAGGAACCTC